GTAGTGGCCGAAGAATCCAGTAACATGGGTTTTGGATATAATTTCTTGCTGCAAAGTGGAAACTATAATCTTATTATCTGAAAGAATAATCGGTTCCTGTATTTGAAGTATGGAGCAAACCTTTGTAAGTCAAATTGATTCCTACAAGTTCAGCAAACAAAGAGGAAAGATAATTTGTAGATTAAGCTTTTATCAAAATAGCAGCATGAGTTTCAAGATCATGGATGAATGAATATTCCAAATCCTGTTATAGTGTCCTCCCAGGATGCATCCACATAGCATCTAACACCTGCAGGTATAGCCGTATAGGCAAGCATAATTAATTGAATAGAATCACGATTATCATGTGTTACCTCAGTTTGCTCTACCTGGAAGTTTTTTTTTTTTTGACTGAAAATACTGCCAGGTCTTTGCCCAGCAGTGTGATTTTCATTTATTAAAAGAATAATTACAGTAAAATTTACATGAAGAAACAAAAGAAAATGAAAAAAATCCTATAAAGTTTGTAACCAATTAGAAACAAATTGCTTCAGTGGATCTTTCATTCTGCAAAGATGCAGAAGAATCTCATTTGTGAAGAGAGATTTCCAAGAATGGAAGGAAGGCTGAAAATTTCTGAAGATGAGTCCATTACGCTGTTTCCAGATATGCCATGCAGTCACGAAGAAAATTTCCAGAAAACCAGGCTGGTTGGACTGCCATCTTGCAAAAGCTATTCTTTGGTAAAATTCTAGATTACCATTCCATAAAATTCTCAAAAACTGCCAACAAGCTTTGCTAAATGGACAATTAAAGAAGAGATGATCCCTGGTTTCCCTTTGGTTGCTGCTGCACAGTACACATGATAGATCATCATCTTGTTTGGCACAGTGTCTTCTATCCAACATATCTCTTGTATTCAATCTCTTGTACCTGGAAGTTGGTCATAAGTGTTGCCCATTGAATCTGCCGCATTACACAGGCCTGAAAGGATTCCCATTTTGTTTTTTGTTTTTTTAAGTTATGATTATTTCTTTTCAAATCTGCCAAAGCATGATACAGATTTGTTGAATGGAGATAGTTGCTAAAAGATAAGCTAACATATCTTGCGTTGAATACAGAGAGAACATCAGTTCTAAGCTAGGAATCAGAGATAAATCAGATTAGTCTGCTAAAATAGCAATGGAGACAGTACTCTAACCAGCGGTATTTCGTCAAACAAACGGTTGCCAGTGATGGTGACAGAATTTTGTTTGTCAGTTAGAAACTTTGCGATCGAGAGTCGCATAATGTACGTATATATAGATGTGTGCATGCGCATATGTCATCACTGAGACAAGAGTGACTAGTTTTAGTCAGGTAAGTGCTCACACTTAGCACTCAAACCACGAGTTCACTACGGTGGGCGCTCGTGTGTTCGTTTGATTTGATAGGCTAGGACTCTGTCTAATGATATCACTGAACTGACCAGAATGCATGAGAAAAACATATATTCTGAATTTCTAGTGACTGCCTGGCCTGATCGATACTGTGACAATAATTGGATAGCATATAAATAGATGGGCAAAATTGCTAGCGAATCTCACTTTCTATCGTTTCATGCACTCTTTCTTTCTTGCTTGCTTCTTTTCTTTAGAAAGTTGCATGCATTATTTCTGCTAGGCAGCTAAGAAAGATGCTCATGCTCCGTTGCAGACAATAGTTCGTCCCTTCGTTTTGGTACTTCCAACTGGCTACCAAATAACTCAAGGGATGGATTACGAACAAGATAAGCTAAGAAAATAATTTGGATGCTCTCTCTTTTGTTTTATATATACTCCATTGTTTTTAATATATGATGTCATTTTTAACATATATTTGACTATTCATTTTATTAAAATATTACGTAATTATTATTTATTTTATATGATTTTTTTATCATTAAAAAATCTAAAGAAAACAAATGAAGGCAACAACATCGTAGATTGAAACTAGAGGGAAAAAGCGCATAGCTATGCAGTAACTTAGTTGAAAGGTAAATTTTGTACAGTACACCGTGATTTCGTAGTTTTAGTCTTACGACACTGTTCGAACTCACTTTTAGGGGAATGCACTCCATAAACGTGGTAATTTGCCAATGAACACCACGCTGATTAGAATAATAATTTTCAGTTGAAGAGGAGAGAGAAATCGTGTGAAATGTCAAAAATGCCCTTTGGCCCACATGTTAGCTCTCCTAACCACCGACGACGGCGAGGCGAATTCGGCGATGGGAGTGGCTAGGGGAAGGTGGAGGCTAGCGACTTGGTGGCGCGGTTGAGTGGCGAGGCTCACCGGAGGGAGGGGATCGATGCCGGCGGCGATCCTGAGCTCGATTTGGAGCATGATGTCGCGGGGGGCAAGTTTGACGAGAGCAACGGGGCTTCTGGGAGAAGACGAAGAGGGTTGGGGGCTTTATAGCGCGCGCGGCTAGGAACAGAATAGAGGCGATGATGACGGCGCCGGCGAAACGGTGTTAAATAAGACGAGCAGTCAAACATGTGCTAAAAAGTCACGGTATTACATAAAACGAAACGGAGGGAGTACAAGCTAGTACAACGGTCACTTCAGTGTAGATATACTTGGGCACTTCTGTTCCCGTGGCCGTACGTCAACAAAGAGACGTGCGCCAGCGGAAAGCGGACAGCGCGCGGATGACGCGATTCGGGGGTCCCAAACTGGTTTGGGTACGTATATTAGTACGTCGGAGAGTTGAAAATAAATACAAGGGTCCACTTGGCTGACGCTAGTACAAATTTTCAGAAACAAGAGACTTCGGTCGAAACTAGTTATGTTACCATGGGTTATTTTGGATGTTTAATTAGTATATCCATCGTGAAACTAGATTACATAAGCTTACATTTAATACACTTGCAAATCAAAGTAAAAAGTATATATGTCACTACGGTAGCGTATTCTATATTCACACCTACTATAATGCACTCATATATTCAGCTATCATGTGTGCCACTAAAAATTGGCTCTTCCCCTATATGCTATTGGTCCAAATTTACGCACTCTCTCATGCCTCAAGTAAAAAAGACGTATTTGCTCTTCTGAGTTGTTAGACATGTCCTATACTTAGAAGGATAAATATGTCTTTTTTACTTGAGAGTTAACGTTCAACCCACCGTAAATAGACGGGAGTGGCATAAGAGGGTGTGCAAATTAGACCAATGGCATATAAGGGAAGAGCCAATTTTTAGGGGCATATAAGGGATAAAACCAATTTTCAGTGGCATATAAGGGGTTCTCTCTTGGAATATCACAAAAGCCCACCTCATAGGATGGAATGCATGGGGAGTTTAGTACCACCTTGTCTATTTTAGGAGAGAGATCTCCTTATAAGGGAGGATGCTGAAGCCACTTGAGGCACGCTCGCTCGCCTCGTCAGGCCTTCGATTATGCGTAGTGGAGATCGTGCAGGCGTCTTGATCAAGCGTCCATATGTATAAGTTGAGTCGCCGCCTCCACGCAAGGCGACAATAAGGATTTTGGGAAGCGCTTTGTGCGACTGCTCCCTGTTCGACTACAATGGCTCGTCTTCCTCTTCGCCCGCGTGCTGCACGCCGTTGTCAATGCCCACAACCGTGAGTACTTACTGTTGAGCAACCGGTTTTCCGATACCCTCGGTACTTGTTCAGCATGTTGCATATATTTAATCTGTTCATGATTTATTGTCTAGTTTATATGAGTAGATCTTATGATACATTTATGATAGTTTACATCTGCAATGTCATGATTTATTTATGGAATAAATTAAATCATTATGCACTCATATATTCAGCTATCGTGAACCCTCCAATACTAATCCAATGGATAGAATCCGAGCGGCCAATTTTTGATAGATATTTAATCAATAAACTTAGATCTTTCAAGAGGGAATATATTCTATACCACTACCACTGAACTTATCATAGTTCAACAATTTACCACTGACTTTGTTTCTTTCTACAATATACCGACGATTTTATCAATTATTATATAATACGCTATTAGGTTGGGCTTATTTTTCAAGGATACCTAAAATATCATTACAGACATATAAGGTTAATAGTTGATTTATCTAATTAGAAGCTTAAAAAAATGAAAACTTTCATGTGGTTACACAGTAGAAAAGTTTGTATGTAAGTTTCAATTTTTCTTTCATTTCTATTTTTTAAAAATATAACTTACTGTTGTATGCTATATATTTTTTGTGTGTTGTTGTTTTTAATGTAAATTATCTTTCATATGCAGCATAATATATTTTTTGCTATTATCTTTTGTGTTAGCTATTTCTCTATGATATACCACTCAAAATTTTTTTCGTCTAAGAAACAAAAATACCAAAAAAAAAGAAACTTATGTATTTACTTTCCTGTTGTATAAGGAGGCTATATAGAAAATTTCATATTTTCTAAACTTTCTACTGAGATAATTTAATTGTTAACCATGTATGGCTGTAAGGGTATTTTTGGTATTTTTTTAAAAAAGAGATCCGTCCCAATGGCATATTGTAGAACAATTGATGAAATCATCGGTATATTGTAGAAATAGACAATGTTAATGGTGAATTGTTGAACTGGGATAAACTTAGTGGTATAGAATAGATTATCTGATATTTCAAACCGATGAGTACTACTAGTTATTTGAAATTTTTGAACAACAAATACTGCACCGTAACACAAATTTGTAAAACCTATTTTTTAAGGAAATTTATAAAACCTTGAGAACATTAAAACCAGTGTTACATAATATTAAGCAATATAAAAGAATCTTTTTGACCCGAGACAGAGGCCACGCAAGACGCAAGCCATGACCCATTCCGGGCCGAATCCAAGCCACCCAGCCCAACAGTAGCAGCGAAAGGAAAAGAAAAAGGAAAAAAGACAATGTGGCACACACGTGGCGTCGCAACCCGGTCGCGTCCAAACGCGCACCACTTCGGTCGCCCCGCCCGGCTGCACTGCATATCTACCTTTTCTCACGTCAACCCACACCTCGTCCCCGTCACCTCCTATATCATCGTCATCATCAGATAGATATATTCCGTCCGTGCTCATCCACCCACCCCCACCTATATATAATTGCCTCATCTCCTCTTCTTCCCTCTCTATCTTTCTTTCTGATTTCTCATTAATTTCGCATCAAGCTAGCTTGTGATCAGCAATGGACGGCGAGATGGATTGGATCGCGGCGCGCTTCGTCCTGTCGGCGATAATGGGGGTGCACCCGCTGGTGGCCGTCGACGACGCCGGGGCCGATGACGAGCACTTCCCGGTGGACGACGCCGCAGCCGTCCACGGCCACGCGTCGCCGCCTCCTGTCGCGCTGCCGGCGGCGGTGCTGGCGCCGGAGGAGGTGGCCGGCGCGGTGGTGTGCGCGGTGTGCACGGAGGAGGTTGCGGCGCGGCAGGCCGTGGTGCGGCTGCCCTGCGCGCACTGGTACCACGCCGGTTGCATCGGGCCGTGGCTGCGGATCAGGACCAACTGCCCGACCTGCCGCGCCGAGCTGCCGCGGGAGCCCGCCGCCGCCGACTGGCGTGTCCCGCGGCGCCCGGCGGTGGCGGAGACAGCCGGCAGCCGCCTGCGGCGGGAGGCGTCGTATACGATGCTCGCAGGCACGTTGCCCAGCTAATCAATCATCATCGATCAATAGATTAATTTATTATACTATGTACATGTGTAAATTAATCGGCATGTATATACAACGAAGGTGAAGTGAAAATTGTACAGAGGCAAACTCACGTAAACCCAGCGCCCGCTGGATAGAACGGAACGATCTATGAAAGATAACATTTTTAATTAATCTGCTATTTGCTTGGTGATTAACTTGCTCTTAGTTCCCAATCTCCCAGCTGTGGTATTCGATCTGGTAAGTGGTAATTTCTGTATGCTTATCCTGTTCTCAGATGTATGCTTAAACTATTGTACAATATGGCTTCTGTGGGCGGCTATCTATAACCTGCCGGCTGCCGCTGTTGTTAGCAAACGTTCTTTTCTTTCATCATATTGCCGGATAAGTCATCGGCGTTGTCGTATTATGCGCACGAGCGGTATGCCCTTACGGCCTTACCATCCACATAACTAATCACAGGTTCACAACAGCCAGTAGCAATGCGCTGTTGTCGGACGTGATGTTTGGCTGATTATAATATTAATTACTAAATACTTGAAAAAGGTAGGTTCATTGTTTTTTTAAAAAAAATTATATAAATTTTTTACACAACGTATTAAGCAATTTGAGAAGCATACTAATGGAAAACTCCTCCAACAACAAGAATACTAATGCGGAGAAAACTACCCATCGAAGGTCTGATTTCTAAAAGAATCGGGCAGTCAAATGTTATAGTTGACCAACATGTGAAACATTAACTTATGTATGATGAAACAAAAAATCAGCAACCGAAACATTTAAAGATTATATGAAACATTTTGAAGATACACATTGAAACATGTCACTATCACTTATGTAACAACGAGAGTTAACGGATTGAAACATATGTTTTTATTTCATCAAAATATAATCGTGTGATATCTTGGTGTAAAGATTTAATTATAATGAATATAACGGTGTAATCAAATCATAGATGGATAAGTAGTTTAGAAGAAAAATTATTTTAAAGATCGCTAAAATGCATGCATGCAAGCGTTGATGGAGTAGAGAGAGATGGGAGGGTAGTGGCAAGTATTTTTCATGAATTTTGTGATACACAGTAAAAACAGATGCTGAAACACGTCACTATAACGTGTCAAACGTGAAGTATTAATGGTTTAAAAGTTAAAACATATGTATTTTTAATCGGAATATAATCATGTAATATCTTGTTAAAAAGATTTAATTCTAATGAATATAACGGAGTAATCGGATTTTAGCTTGGATAAGTAGTTTAGGTGAAAAAATATTTTAAAGATTAACACATGTATATGTATGGTTGGAGTGAAGAGCTAAGACAATTGAGTTAGCAGTTAGTGAGTTGATTGCAGGTATAAGCACTTAAAAAAAATTGTCATATCGGTGTCCGGTTTTTCTCTCTTGGTTGAACAGCCGATTACAAGTATTCTCGCTTTTCTTTTGGTGTGGACTACTGCCTTTTAGGTTCCTCGGCGAGGTACAATGGTACACTGGACAGGGAGCAACGAGGAGGTTGGCACGGAGAAGGGGACGGTATGGCGACGGTGGAGGTCGGGTGTCGACATCGTTCTGGTGACTGAGGCGGGGAGGTAGCACAACGTATGTACTCCTTTCGTCCCATAATATTAGGGATTTATTTTTTCTTGCAAGAAAAACTTAAAATCCTTATATTATGGGACGGAGGGAGTATAACTTTGTGCACTCGGTTTGCTCTTTCGGTGTGGACTCATCTCTCACTGGTTGCCGATATTTTGGGGGAGGGCTTTGGTAGACGTCTAGACGGGGGACTTTGGTGTAGGTGAGGTTGTTGCAGCGGGACCCAACGATTTGATGGCCGCTGCCACCTTGCGCGTGAACGGTGAACCTCGGGCGGGCAGTGTGGAGGAGGGTGGGGATGGCAGCTCGGTCTGCTGGTGCGGCATGCAGGCATTCCATTTCCATCGAACACTTCTGTGCATGGTGGCCGAGGGGAGAGAGGGGGAATAGACGGCTGGGCAGGGGATGAGTGGGAGAGAGGGAAATATTATTGGGCTGCAAGGGAAAAGAGATGGCCCGATTGTAATAGGAACTTTTGTATTTTGTAAAGATTTGGAAGTTGTACTTGAGCAGAGATTGCAACGGACTGTATGATTTGGTCATTTAATTTTGCTCTATATAATTGGACTGTGTAATGGACTGCATATTTATAATTTGGACTGTACAATGTGTTGTATAATTGGACATTGATTTATTTGAACTAGTGCTGCTGGACTTGTTTGTATCACCTCAAGGGATTTTGAAAATTTACAAGGAAGTTTGGAATTTGGAAATTGGAATTGGCACTTGAATTCAAACATGCACATGGACTGTTTTAAATGGGAAGTACAATTGGACCGCTAAAATGAGATTTGAATTTGAACTAGAGTCTTGTAATTGGAATGTAGTAGGAGGTTTGATCGACTAATTTGGTGGCTCGAGGATTGGATTTAGAATTTCTTTTGCGGTAGCTCGACAATATCAAATATGTCCAACGAATGAATCAAGATATCAAAGAGGGGTTTTTAGGGACAACGCATGGCATACAAATCCAATTGACGTGGTACGGTTTCATGGTTGGGATAAAATCGGAGATATTCGAATCAACGTACGATAAATAAATACATCAAACCATTCTAGATTTTTCGACGGAATTATTGAATTGGAATCGATAGAGCAGTGCTAAATTAACCGTAAGATTCCGAGTTTGAGAAAGAGAGAGATAACATTGCGATAGAAGGAGAGAGCTTCGGGTCTTTGGTTAGTTTAGCACCGAAGCTCTTAACAAATCAGACAGAGAGGAGAGAGGACACGGAAGGATGTCAAACGGAGGACAGCCTTTGGAGAAAAGATTTAATCGAGATCTTTGGCACAAATCATAACAAATCCTATTATGCAAGCTGGGTAGGCACTGGTGGAGAAACCTTTTGTAGTCCCGGTTTGTAACCTCCCTTTAGTCCCGGTTTCCAAACCGGGACTACCAATCCAGAACTAAAGATCGCTATCTTTAGTCCCGGGTGAAATAACCGGGACTAAAGATCGATCTTTAGTCCCGGTTGGTAACACCAACCGGGACTAAAGATGGCTCAGCCACGCGGCCGGCTGAGCCATCTTTCCCGGTTGGTAAACCAACCGGGACTAAAGATCGAGCTGACCTTTTTTTTTTTTTTGCATGGCCCTGTTGCTGCATGGTATATATATATATATAGTCCAGCTGGTATAGTTCGTAGATTCCCTTGAAATTGATCCAGAGAATGTCATCTCCTTGCAAGAAGTCCGTGTCCCTGATCCTCGCTTCGATCATCTCTCTACCGGTGGCGCTCATCTCCATGTACAGTTGATGGAACTTGTACATTGGTGTGGGTAGGGACTGCACTAGCTCAGGCTTGACAAGCGGTTTACCGAGTTCGTACATGTATTTCACTTCCGCCTTTTCAATTGGTACGACTCCTAGCAATTGATCCGTAGTTAGACTGGTGTTAATAACAAATTCTTCTATCGTCATTTCTTCACCGGTCACCAACGGCTCGATCTCCTGGTTTGGTTGCTCTCCAAGCTGAGGGACTGGTTTGGACTTTCAAGAAGATGTTTTCTTCAACGTTCGCTCATAGTCCGATAGCTTAATGCCCTCCTTGGCAGGTGCAGACATACCCCTGAAGAAGTTCCTGACACTCGGGTCTATAGGAATCTTCTTTTCTGGATTTCGAGGCTTGAATTGTCTCTTGACTTCTGATGCCACATAAGCGTCAAGCTCCTCTTGCGTGCAATCGTACCCCAGGTCCTTGTTCTTGGCGGCGTCAACTTTCGCCTTCTTCGTTGCCCTTGTGTGGGCAGGCGGTGGAGCTTGGGGGGCCCTTGACTTTGAAGGTGCCGGAAGAGGAGCTTGCGGAGGAGTCGGTGTAGGAGCCTGAGGAGGAGTCGGTGCAGGAGCCCGAGGAGGAGTCGGTGCAGGAGCCTGAGGTGGAGACGGTGCTGGAGCATGAGGAGGAGACGGTGCAGGATCCTGAGGAGGAGATGGCGGAGCCGGAGGAGATGGTGCACGAGACGCCGCTTGTCGCCCAGGGAGGATGATGTACCGCCTGCGCCATAGAATAATGGCATGGCTTGTGTCTCGTAGATGCGTCTCACCGTCTCCTCTAGGGTAATCCAGCTCGAGGTCCTCGTACGCGCCTTCGACCAACTCAACTTCGACCTTGGAGTATCCTGCTGGAATCGGCCTACAGTGGTAAGTACCTGAAGGATCCATTGGGATGGCCATGCCCGACGCCACCTTCATGTGGTGAGAGGTTATTTATTAGTAATCAACATATATAAGCAGCAACTAGCGGAATGGCCAAATCTAAAATATATAAACTACGAGCTTACCTTTATTGAGAAGTTCTTGAAAGGAATATGCAGCTCACATGGTGTCCGCTGAGTGATGTCATCAACGGGGCAGGTGGATTCGTCCTGGGTTTGCATGGCGTCCATGCTCCGTGATCCTACCTGCCCTGTTGAGGCGCAGCTGCTATGGTTTCCTGACGGGCTCACCATTGCAGGAGGAATGGTCGACTGGGGATGATGGGACCGATGTGCGGCCATGCGTTCATCAACCTTCCTTGCCACCTCCTCTTTCATGCTGCGCTCGTAGGTCGATACCCTGAACTCTAGATCTGCAATCTTCGCCTCGGTATCTCTCTTGCTCCTCATCCGACTCCTGTACGTGTGGATGTCCTCCTTGAACCCAATCTTCCAAGGAATCACCCCTTTCCCTCGTGTTCGTCCTGGATGCTCTGGAGTCTGCAGGGCGAGTGACAGCTCATCCCTCTCTCCATCTGGTCGGAACGTGCCCTGAGAAGAGGCTTCCACTACGTCTGTTAGTCGACGCGCAGCCTCTCGTATCTGATCGCCGAAGACCAGTGAGCCATCAGCTGGGTTGAGCGTTCCACCGTGAGCATAGTACCAGAACTTCGATCGTTCCGGCCAATTAGCGATGGCCGGTTCTATACCCCTCTCAAGCAAGCTAGCCTTCTTCTCCTCCCACTTTGGCATCGCGACGCTATAGCCGCCTGACCCCAAGTGGTGATGGTACTTCTTCTTGGCGGCATTTTCTTTGTTTCTTTCCATCATCGCCTGCCCTTGTTCACCTGTCTTATATGCAACGAACTCGTCCCAGTGATCCCTTAGCTTTGGGAATGTGTCGAAGTTCGGTGTCTGCCCC